ATGAAAATTTTGTTCATACATTGGTCACATTTTTCCAATTAAAATGATACCAAACACAACGTGCTTTAGACCATTCTTATTCGTTATACGTGATAGGTAACTTATTTTATTTTGCGAAAAAGCATTACAAAAACCGATTTTTAACGTATGAAATATTAAAGGCATATTTGAGTCTACGTTGGACACCGGCAATAGGAAGCTTTACACGGATGGGAGACAGAAGGCAACGAGGACGGCCGAGAACGAAGTGTTACATGTTTGAAATTGCTGGGTCGGGAGAAGCGACATCATTTTGAGGACAAGCTTACACGTGGAGGCTGTAAAGGAACCGTTTTCTGTACATTCCCGACCTTGGAATTTTAAGATGTCGAAACATCGAGAAAGAACACGACATTTAGCCAATTTGAATATGGATTATATACAAATTAATTTTTTTTACATTATTTGTTACAGCATCAGTAAAGTCAACAACTTTGCCTAAGCTCTTTCCCACCGCACATCACGCGCATCTTGGCAGTAAATTACGTGCAACGTCTATCGTCTTTGATTTTGTCGACAGAAATATCTGTCCAAACTATATCGTGTTTGGTCTTATTTTAATCGGAAAACTAACAGCAATGTGTTAAAAAAAAGATCAGTGTTAAAATGTTAAAATTAAAAAAAGTTATGTCATTGTATTATGAGTTGTCTTCCGGGAATTCGAGTCGAAGGAGCCGCGGCGCGTGCCGTAGCACACGTGTTCACCAACACCATCGAACTTTAGCATAGCGAGAAAATCGATGAATTAAAGGGCCGCGAGAAAATCGATAAATTACAGGACCGTGGCAATATCTCGGCGTCGGGATTGGCATACTCGAGTTACGCCGAGAAGAGAGACATTACTGATTTATCTCGTCGAGAGAAACACGCGGACTCTGCTTTGCGAATTATGTAATTTGTCGTTATTAGATTGATCCTCGCCATAGTTTCACTTCACGGAACGACACAATGCAGACGCAATTACATTCCCAATTAGATACGGAAGAATTACAACTAAAAAACTTCTCACGGATTCGCGAAGCAAATCGCTACAGTTTGTCCGGGATCCTGCCGCTAATAACCCTAGCCGGTGACTGACGACGAATCCGTTCGGAAGAAACGGCGCACGCACACGCGCACGCCATGCGTGCACGCACACGGACGACGCGCTGTGTGTTAATTTCCTTCGCGGCCGACTTCCTTTTTTTTCTTTCTAAACGACAACGGCGACGAGTTTCTCGAATGCGAAGCGTGCCACGGTTGATTTCGAATTGTAAATAAGAATGATTGGCGCGCTGTTTACCGTCAACCCAATTGCGCGAACGTAGAATCGACGACATTTTCAATCGCGGTGACACTGTCGAAGCAGGTCGTAAATCACGTTGCAGAGCAAGCCTGGGTATTACCGTGGACGCCAGAAAAAAATACTGCGGTATTTGATAAAAGTAATAAAATCTAATATTTTATAGCGTGTAGTCTACTAAAAATGACTCTCATAATTTTGCGTATGTTTAATATTGATAATTTGTGATGTACAAGTAACAGCAATCGCAGTTTTAATTTATTTATTGACTTTTAATGTTGATGATTCAAAAGGCATTTATATTTTGATAATAAAGTATTGATTTTAGCGTTATTTTTAGATAAAATAATCGTTACTTTGAACGATGTTTAATAAATTAGGGCTAACGTCAACTGAATTCGAGCGGCCGATAAAAATTAGCATTGTAAATTCAAGGTTGAGATTTTGATGAATCGTTAATCTGTAAGGTTTTATCCGCAGAAAATTGATCGAACGATCCTCCGATATGGTGGCTTCAATTTGTTATAAGACTGTCTTATATTGTTACGAGGCGTATTAAATTATTATAGAACATCTTAAGTTGTTGTAAGGTATCTTGAATTGTTACAAGGCATATTTAAATTATTATAAGACATATTAAATCATTATATTATATATAGGGTGGCTTCAATTTGTCTGTATCGCAACATTTGCCTCTTTAGTTCACGTTCCACGTGTTTTCCGAATCAGATGCTCGATCACTGACACGATTACGTACGTATTGTTCCATAGAGAACAATATCTACACAATTACACTTAGCGTAAACTCTACTTAATTACACTTCCATACTACACCTGCGTTCACCGTAGAAGACTGAACGAGCGTTTTACTCTGTTCGCGAGATTCCCTGCGAACGCCGACAATAACAGAGTTGTTTCACAGTCGGTCGTAAGAACAATTAGCGGACTACTCGTCGCTGGCACTAAACAACGCGTCTGGAGGAAATTAACGCCCGGAGTGTGTAGAGAAGAGGCGCACCGGGAGAGACCGGTGACGCAACGTTATTCGGATGACCGTTCCCCTCTAAGGAGCTGCTGTTTCAGTTAATTCTCCGCGAGAGGATGTTCGCTTTAACGCGGCAGGATCAAGATCGAATTACCCATCCTCGGCTCCGCGTTGAACTCTCTGCGCTCGCGTGCTCCGCTCGACTAATTGCGTTGGTCCGAGGTGCGTCGGGACGGTTGCGTTTCGGCAACGCCGATCGGCATTCTAAACACTCGAACGGATAGATATTATATGTAATTGGGTTCTACCGACTTGCACGCGCGCTTCCTCGCCACTGTTTCTCTCGTTGAGGTCTATCGTTGATCCCCCGGCGAAAGAGGAAGAGCCCGCAGCCAGATGCCGGGTGGAGGGGGGGAAGCGGCGGCAGAAGACACGCGGGAAGGAGGAATTATTGCGCGATACGTCACGTGAGACTGTCGCCAGCCTTGTACATAAGAAGAGGAACTGGACCGTGTGACACGCGCGCTTACACACGTGGAACAATGGGTGTCTCGTTCCGAATCGCGTTTAAACAAACCCGGGTACACTCGAGACACGTCACGGAAATTAGGGCGATCCGATCGGACATTCGATCGTTGTTTAAATCCTTTGGAGAAATATACGACCAGCGCAGTAAGGTTTGCGAACGTAGTTTCTGATCGTGTTGCGTTGGGGAAGAGACGCTGAACCGTATCACGCAAAATGATCGTTGCAATTGGGGTGGTTCCTATTTGTTGTAAGACTGTCTTGTATTGTTATGAGGCGTATTATATTATTATAGGGCATCTTGAATTGTTGTGAGGCATCTTGAATTGTTATAAGGCATATTTAAATTATTATAAGACATATTAAATCGTTATATTATATGGGGTGGCTTCAATTTGTTATAAGACTGTTTTATAATGTTACGAGGTGTATTAGATTATTATAGGACATCTTAAATTGTTGTAAGGCATCTTGAATTGTTACAAGGCATATTTAAATTATTATAAGACATATTAAATCATTATATTACATAGGGTGCCTACAATTTGTTATAAGAATGTCTTATATTGTTACGAGGCGTATTAAACTATTATAGGACATCTTAAATTGTTATAATGCATATTTAAATTATTATAAGACATATTAAGTTATTATAATAGTTATATTAAATTGTATAATTGTTAAAAACATGTGCCATCGGTGGAACACGTGGCACGGAACGTGTTGATTAAAATACTTTCATAAAATATACAATTTAATGAAGAATATACAATGTATATTAGCCTTCTTAAAGGCCTTCTTAAAGCGTTCTAAAGATTAAAGAGCCGAGGGAATAAGAAGGCGGTGGTTCGAGTCTCGCGAGCACACGGATTCCAGAAAGATAAATTAATTAAGCCGTCAGTGTAATTTTGACACCGCGGATTATTTTTAATTTGAGGGCGTCTTGGTCGAAGAGGCAGATGTTCGGCTTGTACCACATGTTCGCCGATGCGGACGACGCCGTGGCAAAAGTTTAAACGCGTGATGTAAGACCACTTGTTGCAAAGCTCTGTAAACAGTAATCGTTTCCCAGTGTTCATCGTCCGTATCTATATAGACTGTTTGAACGGATGCTCGGTCTCTGCTCGAGACATTTACATAATAGATACTCAGAGGTTCGTTTGATTCGCGGACCATATACAGGGTGTCCCAAAAATGTCTCGCAATACGGAAATGGCGGGTTCCTCGGATCGTTTGATGCAGCTTCTTCCTTTACAAAAATTTTCTCCGAGGCACCGTTAACGTGTTATTAACGAAAAACAGTGACCCATAAGAATCGAGTACGGCTGACGCGAGGCGGCCCAGCCAACCAGCGCACGAAGCCCAGTTTCGCTCATTGGCTCGGTCGCCTCGCGCCAGCCGGGCTCGCCTCTCATTGGTCACTGTTTTTTGTTAATAACTCGTTAACGGTGCCTCGGAGAAAATTTTTGTAAAGGAAAAAGTTGCTTCGAATGACCCGAGGAATCCGCCACTTTCGGATTGCGAGACATTTTTAGGACACTTTGTATACATACACATGTACACATACATACTACGTGCAGAGATTAATAAATCATAATAAAACACGTTTCCGGTACTCTTTTTCACATCGTGAAAAATCGATGAAAGCATCGTCGCCGAGTATTGTTAACATAATTATTCAGATTCTACCGTTGAGATTGCGCAAAACCGAGTAGAATTATTGAAAATAAAATTAATGTAATAATATAATATTAATTATATAATTGATATATAATATAATATAAATTTGTATTGAAAATAAAAATCTGATTAACAGATTTTTAATTCTACTGTTCTCGGTAGAAAATGTTTCATAAAAATTGTAAACACAACTGTGAAAACATCCGAGGATTCATTGTCACAGATTTTTTAGCATTTTTGCGTAATACATACCCTCGACAGCAACGCTGAAGCATCGACGGTCCTTCCCCAATCTGTTTTCAACGGACACCTCGTATTTTCCGGCGTTATCAGCGGTGACGTCGTCCGATATTAAACAAGAAACACCTCCGCCATACGTGATCGCAGTCTTCCTGTCTGCCGAAAGTTCGCGCCCCTTGGACAAAAATGTATTTTCACAGATCAATGCACGCCGACGTTTCAGATTGCAATCGTAATCACTATATACATGATTTTTCTCTTTCGGTACCGGCAGTTTTCTAATAATAGTTCTCTCAAAGTCTGCAGGGTGTTCCATAATTATGTTGACACCGGGAAAGAGGGTAGCATCGCGGTTCAAAATAATTTCAATATCGTCAAATTTGTATATATTTGAAAAAAAAAATTTTGAAAGTGTAACTGTCGCGAGAATGGTGTCTCAAAATTATGGTACCTCCGGGAAACGGGTGATTCCTGAGGTCATCCGAAGTAACTTTTTCCTTAGCGAAAATGCGATCCGCGGCTTCGTTTACGAGATATTAACGAAAAACGTTGACCAATGAGAGGCGAGCTCTCGGCTGACGCCCCGCCCTCGCGGGACGCCATACCGCTGCGCCAGATGGTCGGAGCGCCGCGGCATTGGCCACAAGGGCGGAGCGCCAGCCGCACTCGCCTCTCATTGGTCAGCGCTCTGCGTTAATAACTCGGCTAGGACCTTTAACCTTTATTTCAGTCTATCTCTAACAGAAATCTAATTGGAAATTTGTTATTACAAGTATACAAAGAATATTTCGACTTTGACGAGAAATAAATAATACGACTTGTTGCGAATTCATCGTTGGTAATTTGTCGCGATAACTATTTGAACTAACGACGATACTTCGATAACCTAACTAACGCTTGCGTAACCCAATTATTTAGTCCACAAATTATGCGAGATATTGATGCCGCGTCCGTAGATAGAATTAATCGTATTCTAATCGCTCGCAGTAATCGGACGACTGTCGTTCTTGAATTTTTGTCGATTAGGTCTCTCAGAGGGCACGCAATACGAGAACAGTGGTCTCTCTGTACGAGCCAGTGATCGTATTAATAGAATCAAGTGCGAAGTCTTTCTTTCTCTTTTGAAATATCGCGAGCATTTTTCAAAACGCAGCTATTAGGTCATCCCAGAAGCGACGATGCTTTTACTGCTGTTCATCCGACAATTGCTCGTTGTTTAGAAAATTCCGGATTACTGCGATCGAAGTTAAATGAAACAGCAACGTTCAGTTTAGAACTAATGCAAACATTCGGTTTTTAGTGGAATATTAAAACTACTACAAGATGCTTTTTTTTACAAGAAAAAAGGTATAGCCGAATAAGGGGGTGAGAAGTGTCTCTAAACCAAATTGAACTTGCAATGGATTACGTCGACAGGGGGAAGAGGGGGGGTAGTAATGGGATGACAAAGAAAATCATGTTTTTCCGCAATTTCTCTTATCTTTTTGAATTGAAAATTCTGAAAAAAATCTGCAACATGTTAACTATTAGGATACATATACACGAATTTTTTCAGAATTTCTGGCTTCAAAATCGAATTTTTAAAAAATAAAAACGTTTTGAAACGCCGATTCTTTTATAAAAGTTATGAAACGACTAAGTTTATATTTTTTACATAACCTTGTATGGCTACACCGTTTCATGAGATTACCCTAATCGAACGGTTACATTTAATTAAATATATTCTTAAATCTAGCGACAGCTGCCTATTGTACAGTGCGCCACAAAATTCTAAGTCAGTACCGTCGAAGCGCGAATCTGCAGCGTCCGACGGTGCAATTAGCTTCCAATAAAATGCGACACTTACCGCTCGGAGCCATTTGACCTGGGGTTCCGGGTGACCTCGATAGCTGACCCTGAGGACCACCCTGTTCCCTCTGAACACCGTGACGTCGGCAGGCAGCTTCACAATGGCGGCGGCGATCGGTTCGTCGATCCTCCTGTCGGTCTCGATCGGGTCCTGCGTCTCGGACGCCGCAGGCTCCTCCTCCTCGGCACACTCCATCGACACGATCGGCGTGTCGTCGTACTTCTCGCAGTTCCCGCGTGCCTCGTTCGAAGCCCTCTCGGCGTTCCACGTGCCAGGATCCGTCGGCGTCGGTTTCATCGGGCGCAGCTCCTCACGACGGTTCCTCGGGAATTTCGCGTCGGCCGCGTGCGACGGTTTCGCGAGCAGAGCGCGCTTCGCCGCATCGGCTTCCTCGTCGGACGACAACGAGCTCTCTACTCGAGCTCTCGTAGGTCTCTTGGCCGAGCGAGCCGCGTTATTTCTCGTCTTTTTCGGGTCGAGATCTTTCTTATCGGTCGCCTCGCTTTCTTTTATTTTCCTGGAGCCGAGCAACGGACTCGGCGGGACGTTCCGCCTCGGGAGGGAGGGGGACGCTCGTTGAACCTCCGAAGTCGAAGACTTCAACGGCAACGAGGACGATCTGGCGCGCATCGGCGACTCGCGTCGCCGGCGTCGAGGAGGCGACGCCACCTCTCTCCTCGGCTTCTTCACCGAATTGCTGCGCCCGCAGCCGCCCGCTTTTCGGATCTCGATCGATGCGCAAACCGCGTCGCGCATACCGACAGAGTCCTCGAAGTGCCGATGCGATCGTTTCAATCGCAACTCCGCCGTGCAACTGATCGACGGACCCTTGCCGATCACGGACGCCGTGCAGCGAATCTCACCGGTGTCCCGCGACGACACGTTCTGTATCCTCAGTATGCTCACGTTGTCGTCCTTTTCGATCTACGACGACAATAGTTCTACGTCAGGCTTGCCGAATTTCTCTCGCGTTTCGTTTACAGCGCGGGGTGTCCCGTTTCGGTCGTAAAAAATCTCGGAGACGCACGATTTAAAAACAACAAATCGACGCGTGTAATTTAGTACCTCGAGCGGCGTGTCGAATGGTGCAAGGCGGCCGAGCTAATGAGCGGAACTGGGCTTCGTGCGCTGATTGGCTCGGCCGCAAAGCCATGGGCGAGCTTGCCTCTCATTGGTCAGTGTTTTTCGTTAATAGTTCGTAAACGAAGCCACGGGTTGCATTTTCGTTAAGGAAAAAGTTACTTCAAATGATCCCAGGAACCTCTCATTTTCGGTTTGCGAGACATTTTCGGGGCACCCTGTATTTATAGCATTTTACGAATTAGATATAGGTGCTCTATGACCGAGCGTGTTCGCACCGGCTCATCGAGAACTGTATAGGTTACCGTATAGGTTAAGGTACGCAGTTCGGCAAAGCATCGCGGTAACGTACACACATAGTAAATTAATAATAAATTAATACTGTGTTGGTAAATAATACTTCAGGATAGATGATACACTTACCCTAGTTCGTTTTGCTTTCTTTTTTCACGGTATACAGGGTATTCCAAAAATATCTCGCAATCCGAAAGTGGCGAATACCTCGGGTCATTTGAAGCAACTTTTTCCTTTACAAAAATTTTCTCCGAGGCACCATTAACGAGTTATCAACGAAATACAGTGACCAATGAGAGGCGAGCTCGGCTGGCGCGAGGCGACCGAGCCAATGAGCGGAACTGGGCTTCGCGCGCTGGTTGGCTGGGCCGCCTCGCGTCAACTGTACTCGATTCTTATTGGTCACTGTTTTTCGTTAATAACTCGTTAACGGTGCCTCGGAGAAAATTTTTGTAAAGGAAGAAGTTCCTTCAAATGATCCGAGGAACGAGACATTTTTGGGACACCCTGTATATTTTATGATATTTTTATCATCGCGGGTTCGGAAACGTACCTTGCATCTTGGGATTTCTTTAACGTCCTTTCCGTTGATGGTCCACGTGATCTCCATGGGCTTTCCGCATTGTATTCGCGCGCAGAAGCACGCGGTCTCCCCTTTCGAGGTGAAAACGGACACTGGAGTTTTGGTGAACTGCGGCGCTAGCTGCGGGACGCCTTTGTAATCTGTTTTTTTCGTACAAACAGCGTATATTTTTCTAGGTTAGTTAACCGTAACCTTGCCGATCGGAAAAATATTTTTTTTTCGATCGGTCGTAGATAAAATATTTTCGTTCGTCAAGAAAAATTAAGAAGCGAAAGAATTTGTTTCTCTCTCTCTCTCTCTCTGATATTTTCGCGAAGCTCTTCTCTATGCAATAATATCGTGATCATAGCACGCAATATTTTATAGCACGCAATAATCGACTTCCAAATCGTTAATAAAAACCGAGAGGCCGTGTCTCGTAGGAAAAATATTGCGAGATTGGCATAAGTACAAGGATACGGGTACAAAATACGCGTACAAAAAAAGGCGTACAAAAAAAGTTCGTTCAGGAACGTAACGCAAATATTAGCTAATACATTATGCAAAATAACAAGCATCGGTATTTCATGCGAGATCACGCGACGGAATTACATTATCATTTCATTTGCGAATTATCGGTGATAAGGAGATTCTATTCGCATCGCGTGGAGCTAATATTATAAGTTATAAGTTAGACCGCGGATTTGACGCGTTTATGGCAAAAATGAATGAGTATAATTTGCAGCAGTGGAAAAATTCTAACGAACTGAGAACGTTGATGTATTAATTCGAACTTATTAAAACGATTAAAGCGATCCAATTGTAAGATATTTATACCGTATTATTACGGTCGGTTAATTAGTTCGTTAAAAGATTTTCCGTCGGCGGACGCATACCTTGGACGGCAAAGAGGCCACTGGAAGAGGTCTCCCCGAAATTGTTACGAACGTGACAAGTGTACTCGCCGGCATCCTGCGGCGATACATTCGACAATCTAAGCGCGACTCCACCGTCGCCGTAAATCACGTACTTATAATAATCGTTGTTAGGCACCTGGCGACCATCCTTTAACCAAACGACTGTGAAAGGCGGAGTACCTGGAAATATCGTTTAGGTTCCATCTGAGCTACGATTATATTTGCACCTTGGTTCAAATTATTATATTTCCTCTTTTCTACACTAAAAATTAAATTAAAAATTAAATTAAAAATTAAATTAAAAATTTAATTGAATTCCTTTTCTAAATTATTATACTTCTTGTAATTCTTCTTTATTAATATTTCTTCTTCCATTCTATCTCATCGTATTTTCTTCGCCCTCGTAATAAAGTATTTTGATCCACGAATACTCAATGAATAAATAATAATAATAATAATAATAATAAAACGTTAAAATTAGCATTGTCCGATGAAATTTGTAAGCAGGAATTTATCGAAATATCGCGCTTCAACGATTATTGGTTCACAATACCAGTTAGTCTCGCCTGTAGCTCGTAACAATGACCCTCCATGACGATCGATTCCTCGGAGAGCGACTGCAGGAACGTTGGCGGATCTTTGTCACAAGTGGACGGGTCATGGGGGTCGAGAACGGTGACCTGCAGCAAAATCGAATGAACGAAACGTGAGACGATCGCGCGACGAACAACAAATACAGTAAATTCTCCCTAATTCGCGCTCAGATTGCGCACAAAAATGGACAAATGATCCATTTTTGCGTACAAGCAGAGCGCGAATTAGGGAGAATTTACTGTACCGTGGACAGGCGATTAGACTATTTCGCATATACATAATAATATTAATATTTATACAGTATACAGAGTGTCCCAAAAATGTCTCGCAATCCGGAAATGGCGGGTTCCTCGGATCATTTGAAGCAGCTTCTTCTTTTACAAAAATTTTCTCCGAGGCACCGTTAACGAGTTATTAACGAAAAACCGTGACCAATAAGAATCGAGTACGGCTGACGCGAGCCGGCCCAGCCAACCAGCGCACGAAGCCCAGTTCCGCTCATTGGTTCGGTCGCCTCGCGCCAGCCAAGCTCGCCTCTCATTGGTCACTGTTTTTCGTTAATAACTCGTTAACGGTGCCTCGGAGAAAATTTTTGTAAATGAAAAAGTTGCTTCGAATGACCCGAGGAACCCGCCACTTTCGGACTGCGAGACATTTTTGGGACACCCTGTATAATAACATTAATATATATATAATATACAATAATATTAATACATATAATATACAATAATATTAACATTTATGTAATATACAATATTTACAATAATATATAATACAATATATGTATAATTGATGTGATCCGGGTACCTGGCACGTGTTCTTCGTCGATCCGAGGACGTTCGTTGCCACGCAGGTGTATTCGCCCGCGTCGCTCGCTTTCACTTTTGAAATGTCGATTTTCGCGGTATTCCCGTCGAAGTACCGTTTTATTCGGCTCGATCGTTCCAACGGTCGTCCGTTTCTGCAACGCGAACACCATTTTACGTTTCATTACGAGCGACGCGACGACAGCAGTCGCGGTGGTGGTAACAACATCGGAAGCCGTAACTTTTCTGGTCTGGGCGCGATTTTATATGGTCAGGACAAGATCGCGAGCGCGAGTTGTTCATGCAAAGCACGGTTTTATGGATCGGTTCGGCGAAACACGAACCGCGCGCGGAGATTTATCTCCGCCGTTCGAGACTTTGTTGATCGGCTTCGTCGTTTAAGGCGATGCTTCGAATTCATTGTAAAACGGCTGTCGTTTTTTTCTTTCCTGTCAGGAAGAAAATATGATACTGCGAATATGAACTCGATGTTACGTTTGTCGTCGAAATCGTTTCTTTTTTAAATAATGTCTTTGCTACGCTGAATATGATACTTGGCAAGAATTCAATTCAAAAATTGAATTTTTGAATTTTATATTTTATTTTTGAATTTTAAATTTTGTATTTAATGCTTAAATTTCATACTTTATTTTTGAATTCTATATCTTAATGTTTCTTTTACTATTTTAATTTTTTCTTTCACGCTTCGTTATTACCGTGAATTTTTGTAATTACTGGATCGATTTATCGGTATTCATTATTTTGCGAATAATAAATTGCGCTTTTTCCGTTATTTATTATTCGCAAAATAATAAATGAGAAATTTGCAATTTCTCCGAGTGCAAAGTAATGATTAAAATTGTAAAAATTATTGTTAAAAGTTACTGTAAAATTATAAAAACGCGGATTTACATAAATGACTGCACGATTGTGTTCGGTTGTGTATTACCTGAACCACGTTGGCGTTGGACTCGGCGTTCCCCTGATGCCGCAACTAAGTTGTAATTTGCTATTTATTCTGGTCGTAGAGTCCAAAAGGCTTCGGCCAAATGATGGATACGTTCTAGGAGAGGCGCTTCTGGTTCTTATCGTTCGGGAAATCGGCCCAAGCAGTTGACGATCTTCCGGAATAAAATCACATTACCAAAAATAACTGAGTTTTCAATAACTATCGCTGCTAATTGCCGGCAACTGGTCAGACCGGCAATGTTTATGCAAATTATCATGTTTAATTATTTTTACAAAGATTGAAGAACCTATGTTTAACTACTTAAGTTAGAGACCAAACAAAGACTCGGCAATTTGCACGATTTGCTATTTCACTGTTTTACATATTTTCTTGCGTCATATTGCGCATAATTAATTAATTATTAACAATTATATATAACTAATAATAATTATTATATAAGATTTATAATTATTGTTATATATAATTTCTAATTATTATTATATATAATTTCTAATTATTAATTAGTATAAAATCGAGATCCGAGGAGAACGATAAATTTTCTGGGAAAATTTTACATATTACAACATATTTTATTGCGTCGTATTGCGCATAATTAATTAATTATTAACAAGTATATGTAACTAATAATAATTATTATATCTAATTTATAATCATTAGAATATATAATTTATAATTATTAATTAATATAATTAATTAATTTAGTATAAAATCGAGATCCGAGAAGGATGATACCTTCTCCCAGAAAATTTATAAAAGTTCATAAACTCTATAATCTTGGATAATTACAAATTACAGATTGACATCTTAGGCATAACGAGAGTTTTTTATTTTTATTTGTCATCCCAAGCAATAGCAAAATTAAACAAAGGCATTTTAGTCATCACCTACTAGATTCATCCAAAAAAAAATTCAAGTCGCTTATTCCAGTTTTTTAAAGAAAAGTTATTGCGTTTTAAAAAGTATAAGCTCAATTTTGCGACCAATTGTAAATCGGTGTAACATAATACAGTAACAGCCCTAAGATCGAAAATTTGGGCATGCGTCGCGTTCAGAGAAAGTTTCTAAAATGTTTTCCCATACTTATCACTTCCAAACGAGCGCTGGCCTCGATACGGCCATAATCGTTCTCCACGGTGACTCTGTACAATCCCGCGTCCTCTTGTGTCACCTCGACGATCTCCAATATCTTCACGTCGTCTCGTTCCTTTATGGTGATCCTTGCGGTAGGCGTAACGGCTAGGCCATTTTTGTCCCATTTCACCCACGGCGCCGGATGGCCGACCACAGCGCATTGGAATCGCACGGTTTCACCTTCCTCGACCACCCGATTGTGCGGCACCGCGTAAAATTTCGGTGGGCTGATCTTCGGTCGTCTCGACATCGATCTACTTCGCGGCAGCAGCTGCGGAGACCTCAATTCTCGACCGTCTGCGCAAAAAAGATCGGCCTCGTTCACTTAGTTACACAGTTACTTAGCTACTTGGTTACTTAGTTGTTTTGTTATTCAGTCACTTAGCTACTTAGTTACTTAGCTACTTAGTTGCTTTGCTACTTAGTGACTTAGCTACTTAGTTTCTTAGCTACTTAGATGCTTATCTACTTAGTTGATTAGCTACTTAGTTACTTAGCTACTTAGTTTCTTAGCTAGTTAGCTAGCTAGCTATTTATTTACTTAGCCACTTAGTCTTTCAGCTAATTAGCTAGTTAGCTAGTTATCTACTTAGTTACTTAGTTACTTAGTTATTTAGTTACTTAGTTACTTAGTTACTTAGTTACTTAGTTACTTAGCTATTTAGTTACTTAGCTACTTAGTTACTTAGATACTTAGTGACTTGGCTACTTAGTGACTTAGCTACTTAGTGACTTAGCTACTTAGTGACTTAGCAATTTAGTTGCTTAGATACTTAGTTTCTTAGCTAGTTAGCTAGCCAGCTATTTAGTTATTTAGCTACTTAATTCCTCAGCTAATTAGTTAGTTACTTTGCTACTTAGTTACTTTGCTACTTAGTTACTTAGCTACTTAATTACTTAGATACTTAGTGACTTAGCTACTTAGTGACTTAGCTACTTAGTGACTTAGCTACTTAGTAACTTAGCTATTTAGTAACGTAGCTACTTATTAACGTAGCTACTTAGTTACTTAGCTACTTAGTTTCTTAGCTAGTTAGTTACTTAGCTACTTAATTGCTTAGCTACTTAGTTATTTATCTACTTAGTTGCTTAATCGCGCAAATAAAACAGGCAGGAATGCTTTATCGATCTACCATTAAGTTTCAATTATACATGCGCTAATCCACTTACGCGAAACCGCCGGAGACAAGCTCCTGATCGGCGTAGATCTCGGCGTGGATCTCGGCGTGGATCCCGCTGACAACAGACCCACGGGCCTGGTCAGCCTTTGGCTCAGCACGTTTTCCTTTCCTTCGGGCACTGAAAACGGAAAACGATCGATTGACTAAGATCAGTTTTGCTCACCGCACAGGTGTTTCCCGTCGCGCGTCGCTCAGCCGTCTGTGTAGGCAGAGAGATCAGGTTCCTTATCACGAAAATTTTCATCGAACCGGCGGCGTGGGTGCGACCCGACCGATTTGCATCGAGCACGCCATGATAATAGCTACATAAAAAAAAGGAGGAACGAACCACGCATCCGCGACGAATGTCGCAGAGCTATCAACGGCTGCGTCGCTTTTTAACTCGTTACGTCGGGCGGACATAATTTATATTGAACATTACCATCCACTATTAGGCACGCCGACGTGAATGCTTTCCCAAGGTCGTTGTATGCCACGCAGGTGTACTCGCCCTCGTCCTCCGGGTAAACATGCTGGATGTTCAGACGCGCAGTTTCTCCGTCGAACTCCGCGGAGAAGTCGCCGCCCATTTGAAGTATCTGCGTGAAGAGCGCATTCGTTAATGAGTCCGTTCGTTAACCGATCGATTGCAGGACAGATTCTCGTCTGCAGCGAGAGCAAGCGGACTTTAGGAATTCCTTTTCTGGTTTTTTTATACTGGTCGCACCATGGATACAATTTATTGTCACAAATGAATTTATTGTCATTCATGTCCATGTGCAGATTTTTCAAGTGCAAGGAAATTTGCGAATTAACAAGGTCTGGCGACATTTTTATTTTTTTTCTACAGTGAGCATTGTTTTAGTCGACGAGGGGAGCTTCTCTTTAATTTTGATTTTTGTCAAATAACGTGTGAAACATTATAATTCGCACAAACATTCGCAGTCTAGTAATTATGCTGTATATGTTTCATTATCGTAATATTAAATTATCATAATATTAGATTATATTAAATTATCATAATATTAGATTATTATTTTCATTTTACTGCATTAACGTTTTTGCCAAAGATAGATTTTTTTCTTATTCAAAGATATATGCGTATTTCTGTTAATCCGAAGTTAATGAACAAACTTTATTAATAAAATTGTGTTTTATTTCAACGGGAAGTGAAATATCTTCATAAAAAAATGAGTTTGTATGAAAAACTTGATAAAACAGACGCGATATATTAAATTTGAGTTGACAATCATAAAGTAGAATAAATTAAACAATAAATTAGTCAGAAATGAGAAAAGTAACTGCATTATTTCTTGGTCGATTTTGATGTTTTCTTAAAATCAGAACTTATACCCCCGAGTCTCCCCTTGCAATCTTTTCATAAAACATATAGTTTAATAAAGAATATACTAATTATATTTAGAAATAATATAATATAATATAAAATTTTCAAGTTACAGTAAATTCTCCTTAATCGACGCTCAAATTGTGCATAAAAATGGACAATTTGGGATGAGGAGATTATAATAATAATAATAATTATTATTATATTATTATAATTCGAGCCTCGCGGCTCATTTTTATAATTGTTAATAACCGGTAACTATAAAAAGGAAGCCACAAGGCTCGAATAATCGCGCCCCCTTTTCCCAAACCGTTCATCTTTCTGTACAATTAGGGAGAATTTGCTGTACTTTGGCTAGTCGTAATTCCGACGATTTCTACAATTTCGTATAAAAATCCACGGTCTAGGCGATGCAGGGCGAACGTCGGGCAAACAATTGTTGGCGCTCACCTTTCCAGCGCGTTCCCAGCGCACCAACGGCGGCTCGGGTGTGGCGTGAACTTTACACTCAAGGGCGACGGCGTCTCCGTCGCAGCATCTGAGATCCCGTAGATCCCTCGTGATCTCCGGCAGACTCAGTACGTTTCTGTGGATCAAAATCGACAGCGATTAAATTCATGCAGTGAACAGTCGCGTAGCTATTAGCGAAAGCTGTCAGCCGTCAACGATTCAGCCGTTTCGTAGATCGCAAACTCGTTATTCGAGATTACCGTCTTACTTACCCGTGAGTGATACCCGATTTCTTCATCTTCTCCTCTTTGCCTTGACCTGCAAACATAATCGTTTCGTCGTCAAATAGAACCGTCGAATTGTGTTTCCATAGTTTAAATTGCAAAAGAGACCACGGTTAAATTAAAATAAATTAGTTAAATAAAAAAGATCATCCACCTTTCGCGTAGATCTGCAACGAAATCACAGCCTTCGCATCCCCATGGCAGTTTCGCGCTATCACGGAATAGGTCCCCGTAAAGTCGAGTTTAGCGTAGGGGATTTCCAGCCGATACTGGGGCCCTTCGCCGACCAACCGGAAGTGCGGCGCGTCCCGGTAGTAATCAGGCTGCAAGAAACCAACAAATGGTTATCCGACGTTTTAGGAGAGCGAATGATTTTTTTTTTATTGTGACGATGAAATTGGTATGGTTCGAATCGTGGACGCTGGAGTGGAACACAATTTTTCGAATTTATTAGAAGGTTTTACTAGATCTTCGAGGAGGCGACGATTGCAACAAAGCTTTTTCTTTTAAACATTTTGTTGCGTAATGGGTTTTAGTGGAAGAAGTTTACGTTGCATTTTTTGTTTCATGGAATGTACGAATTTATTCGCGCAAATGCATCTTTGCTTCTTTTACTTTATAGTATTGATATACTCTAGTGAAACTCAATTTTATTTAAAATCGATTCTACTGAAATTCAATTTAACTTGAAATTGATTCTACTGAAATACAATTTTACTTGATATCGATTCTACTGAAATTCAATTTAACTTGAAATTGATTCTTCTGAAATTCAATTTTACTGAAATTCAATTTTACTTGAAATCGATTCTACTGAAATTCAATTTTACTTGAAATCGATTTTACTGAAATTCCATTTTACTTGAAATTGGTACTACTGAAATTCAATTTAACTTAAAATAGACTAAGCTGCTATTATCAGACACATTAAACAAAAATTGATGAAATTTCCCGCTTTAATTGCAGCTTAGTTAATAACAAAACCTATTATCAATTAAAAAATTGCCAACTTAACAAAATGCTACGATTTACAGCTTAACATCTCACAGAGAGCCGTCTAAACATTCGAGCATCGAGATTCCGTAAAAAAGCGATCTTTTTTCGCCAAGGCAATTTGCCGCTGAAGCGTCTCGAGTGGTAGCGTCGCCGGAGAACCCTGGATCGCGCGTGTTCGGCCGCTCTTATCGAGAACGTTGGTGTTCGTGCGAGCCGTTGTCGCGTACACGCAACTTTTTATCGCTGACAATAATAACAGGTAACCCGAGTGCGTGCGTCAAAAGCGGCGAGAGCAAAAGCCGCCTCTCGGATCCACCGAGGTGAAAAGTGAAACACTGCGAGGTTTCAAGACTGAAACGTTTACCCCGTTAACGGGAGCTGATCTCGTCGCATCTGACCTCGACCCGAATTCTGTTATTTCCGTGACTCTCACGCCCACGTCGAGGCCGTCGTTTCTGATTCGACCAAAAAACCATCGCCATTGTTTCCGAGCGGGCTCCTCCGACTCGCGTTTTCGTTTTTCGCCCCTCTTTCACCAATTGCAGCAATTTCTGATAAAAATCTAGCTAAAAATCTAGCTTTCTGCTAAAAATCTAATTAAAAAGTTAACTTTCTGCTAAAAATTTAGCTAAAAATCTAGCTTTCTGCTAAAAATCTAGCTAAAAATCTAGCTAAAAATCTAACTGTCTGCTAAAAATCTAGCTTTCTGCTAAAAATTTAGCCTTCTGCTAAAAATCTAGTCTTCTGCTAAAAATCTAGCCTTCTGCTAAAAATCTAGTCATCTGCTAAGAATCTAGCCTTCTGCTAAAAATTTAACCTTCTGCTAAAAATCTAACTTTTTGTTAAAAATCTCTTCTCCTAATTCGCGCTCGGTTTGCGCACAAAAATTGACAATTTGAGAACAGAAAATTTTTAGGAGGTTTTTACAGTTGCCGGTTGTCAATAACTATAAAAACGAGACGCAAGGCTCGACTAATCGTCGAAATTGTCCATTTTTGTGCGCAAGCCAAGCGCGAATTAGGGAGAAATTAATGTAGTACCTTTTCTCTTATAACTTCATCGCGAGAAGACGATTCTGGACCGACTTCGACGTATGAAATCGAGAAGCATTTATTATTCGTTATTCGTTAGACCGTGAATTTTACGAAGGATTTTCAGTAGACCGCGAATTTTACGAGCAATTTCGTTAATTACACCGCGGGATTTACGAGCTATTTATTAATTGTACCATGGATTTTACGAGCAATTATTAACCATACCGTGGATTATCCGTGTGATTATTATCAAATAGAATTATTTTCAGCATTTCAGCATTTTCAGTGTTTCTAAAAAAAATGCGAGCAGTGAGAATTCAACTCAAACGAGAGAATCAAGTGTTATAATATAATATCTATACTATAGTATAGATATAAATATGTTATCTATACTATATCTAACTTATCAAAATAGAATTATTCTTAGCATTTCAGCATTTTTAGCATTTCTAAAAAAATGCAAGCAGAGAGGATTCAACTGAAACGAGAGAATTAAACGTTATAATATAATAATATCCAACTTATCAAAATTTTTAGAGGGAAAAAGGACACCTCTGCTCGGCTCCGGTTTTACTTATTATTTATGACAGGCTATTTATAAATAAGCGCAATAGTTACGATGTTCGAAAACTGTCGCGGCTCGTTGCAACATTTTCCTCGGTAATAGCACGAAAGGGGGTTGATCGGCACGAAAGGAATAATACTAATAATTTGTGGGGACGGAGGGGGTTGAAAAAAGCGTGCGCGCTGCTGTTCTAGATAGATAGAGAAAAAGTGATGGGAGAAGGAAGGACAGTGATAAAAGTGAGATGAGAAACGTCTTCGACGGGGCTCTAGTCCATATAGGGAGCGAAAGTTGAACAGATCGCTTCAGACTGATCTCGTTGTTCGTATGACACGAGTGTGAACGCATATTACTGTTTCTTTTTTTTTCTTTTTTTTTTTTCATTAGCAATTTCAGGTCCCTTCCTTCCAGACACGCCTTCGTTAAACCCTCGGTTAAATTAAGGTCACCGGGAAGAGAGGCTCGATTGTTCACTGAACATCGCGGTATCGATTGCTTGTTCCGTTCCGGTCACTTGTTTCCAGCGCGGTGGTCGTAATAAACATAACTATAACGCAATAAAAAAATAATAATAATCGCATTTCTCGTGCTACGTCGCCGTGAAATGAATACGCGGCCATGTCGAACGAAACGTGATTAAATTATTGTGTATTAATCGACTGTATAATATTAAATATTATTATAAATATTAAATATTATTGTGTACCAATTACATAATAATATAGCATGGAAATTTATTATTTGGGAAAACATTCGTTTCCTTGCTTCTTAAAAGACAATTTATATGGTAAAATGCAGTTAATAAATTCATTGCTGTATATTAAAAATTAGTCTACCAATTATATAATGTATATAATATATAAAAATAATATATAATAATATATAATAATAATGTATTAAATATTATATATATATAATATACATATAATTCGAAGACTAATATATATTGTGTATGTATATTATATATTATAAATAATATATAATATATAATTCGTAGACTAAAATATATACTGTGTCAATAATCGTGAACAATAGTGAACAATCAAAATAAATCGAATAATAAATAATAAAATATACAATATGTGTAATGTAATGTAATAAAAAAATATATATATTATATATTATTATATATTATATATATATATATATATAAATATAAAATAATTTATTATTTATTATTAATATTATATAATATATATAATAAATATATATAAATAAATATATATATATAATATAATATTAATAATAAATAATGAATTATTTTAGAACGTGACATCATCAATTTTAACGGTGCCTCAGAGTCACCGCTCGAGTGCAAATATAACCTTGACACAACCTTAACATCTTGAATTATTCCAACGCGTCGCCAAAGAAGAAACGAATTTTGTGCGGCGAGGGTTGAAAGGGGGATGATCGGGGCGAGACAGAGCGCCGCCGATCCGATCGCGGCGCGAATTCGATGATGATCGATGGCGGGATAAAGTTTTCAGGATCTCTAATGTTCGAAAAATCGCATCGGCGACATAATGGACCTTCCGAGAGCCATCTGTCTTTCACCTGCCGCGCAACCAGGACCGCGCGTTCGCCTACGATGAAATTTATGCGGACGACACTTCCCGTTACGGACGGTCAGCGCCATAAACCGAGGCAAAGCCGGCTCCGCGCAAGGACTTGCTGCAATGTCATCGTATATCGATCTATATTTACTCGCGTCGAAACTCGATTCGCTCCGGCAAAAAAAAATCTGTTGAACATCGCAGCCTCGCGGTCTTCGCGCGACTTCGAAAACCTTGCGCGGTTGTGATATCTTCCTTCGATCTTCGATCTTATCGATCCTACGGCGACAATTTCAGCGCTGCGAATTCTTTCGAATAAATATTTATCGTAGATCGCGCTCTATCCGAAGAGAATTCCTTTCGGTCGAACAGTTTCGAAGCCGTAAATTATCCTGTAAGGTTTATTCGAACAAATTATTCGCATAATTCTTTGTTCGATTAAGTTGTTCGAGCAGAGTTTGGTAAATTATTCGCGTTAAGTGCGCAACGCGATTTATTGTGTAAATAAATAAGTAATTATTATTCTGAGAACCTAATTTCAGAAAATCAAACTCGATAGACAGTCAAACAAATGTTTATAAATTGATTTCATTTTTCCTGTGAAATTGTTTATAAATTTTATGTAAACTCGTATTTAAATTTTATTATGAATTTATATGCGCATTTTATTACGAATTTATATGTGAATTTTATTATAAATTTATATGTGAATTTTATTATAAATTTATATATGTTCTTTGTTATAAATTTATATGTGGACTTTGTTATAAATTTATATACGAACTTTGTTATAAATTTATATATGATTTTTGTTATAAATTTATAATATAACCTTAACTTCGTTATAAACTTATATATGATCTTTGTTATAAATTTATATATGAACTTTGTTATAAATTTATATATGAACTCTGTTATAAACTTATATACGATCTTTTTGTTATAAATTTATAATATATACGAACTTCGTTATAAACTTGTATATGATCTTTGTTATAAATTTATATACGAACTTTGTTATAAATTTATATACGAACTTCGTTATAAACTTATATATGATCTTTGTTATAAATTTATATACGAACCTTGTCATAAACTTATACATGAA